TCTTTCACGTCTCTGGTTAGGAAGATGCCAAGGTATTTCATTTTTTTTGTGGCTATTGTGAATGGAACTGTGTTTTTTACTTGGGTTTCTGTTTGTTTATTATTGGTGTAGAGAAATGCGATTGTCTTTTGTATATTTATTTTGTATCCTGAGACTTTGCCAAAGGCTTTTATCAATGTAAGGAGGCCTTTGACAGATTCTCTTGGGTTTTCAAGGTACACCATCATATCATCAAAAAAGTAGTTTCTTATGATGGAATCTACTCCTGGTGAAGATGCCCTGAACGTTGTTAAAATGACAAGAAGGATTTAGAATAGTCCATAAACGTAGTTGATAAAACAGAGACAGGATTGAAGAGGATTGACTCCAGTTTTGAAAGAAGTTCTACTGTGAGTAAAATGCTGTTAAGTAGCATTGTAAGCAACAGAGAAATCTTTCATGAAAGGAAGAGTCAACGAATGTGGCAAACTTCATGTTGTCGTGTATTAAGAAATGGACTGCCTGCGAGTTCGAGACCCGCCTAGGCAACTTGGTGAGACCTCATCTCTACAATAAATCAAAAAATCAGCCGGGCATCGTAGTGCATGCCTGTAATTCTGGTTACTCGGAAGGCTGAGACGGAAGGATCACCGGACCCCAGCAGGCGAGGCTGTGGTGGCCGGGAGCGGCCACTGCACTTCAGTCTGGGTGACAGAGTGAGACTCCAACTCAAAAACAAAAAGAAAAAAAAAAACAAAAAAAAGAAATGGACTACAGCCACCCAACTTTTAGCAACTACCATGTGATTGGTCAGTCAGCACCAGCAACATTGAGGCAAGACTAGCAACAAGGTTACAACTTGCTAAGGCTCAGTTGATTGTTAGTATTTTTTAACAATAATGCCTTTTTAATGAGGTATGTGTATATATATATATTTTAGAGATAATGTTGCATATTTAATAGACTGCTGTAAGTGTAAACATCACTTACATGCACTGGAAAACCAACAGATTCCTGTGACTTGCTTTATTTACTTCCTTGTGATGGTCTGGAACTGAGCAGTATCTGGCAGAATCTCCAAGATAAGCCTGTATGGGACAGTGTGGGTTTATGACAACTTCTCATTTGTGTGGCTGGAGGCGCAGGTGTCCTGAGGTCTATGTGGAGGGGCCGGGCAGGAACTGTCCTTCCCTGGTATCCATAACTGTTAGGCCGTCCTCCTCTGGTTATCCAGAACACAGCCCTGTGGCTGTGTCCTATCTTGTTGCTGGCCCATAGGAGCATGATGAAGGGCCTGAGGGAGCGGCCCGCCTTGAAGCTTGAACTCCTGCTGATGCCAGCCCATGGGAGCATGATGAAGGGTCCGAAGGTGTCTGCCCGCCTTGAAGCCTGGACTTCTGCTGCTAGCCCATTAGAGCACAATGAAGGGCCCAGGGGCGCTGGCCCACCTTGAAGCCTGGACCTCTGCAGCTGGACCATGATGAAGGGCCCAAGGGCACCGGCCTACCTTGAAGCCTGGACTCCTGCCGTTGGCCCACAATGAAGGGCCCAAGGGCGCTGGCCCGCCTTGAAGCCTGAACATCTGCAGCTGGGCCATGGGAGCATGATGAAGGGCCTGAGGGTGCTGCCCCCTCTTCCCCCAAGCCTGGACTCCTGTGGGTGCTTTACTTTTGAGCCAGGTGAAGGTTGCCACTGCAATTTCGCACTCCCATGTCTTTGGTGTTTCTTATTTAGAGCAAGTAAAAATTTAACTGGGCCACAATTATCTTTATTTATTTATTTAGTCCTTAAGAGTAAACATTTTTACGGACAAAATTAATAGTAGGATTAAAAGTGTCCAAGTTTAACTTCCTAAGGAAAGCGGTCTTATTTGCATATTAAGCATATGTAAGCAAGGTGGTATTGCTAATTTCATCTGTCTTCTAAATATGATTTTGAGTACCATTTTAGCTTTTGTGTTTGTAAATTAACAATGCTGTATCTTAAGATGCTCGACAGGTCGTGAGTATAGGTATAGGGGTGGTTATCCTTGGCAGTTGTTGTGGATTGTCAGCATGGTTATGGATGTTGAGTGTGGATATCAGGGGTAGTTATTCTAGATAGTTGTTGTGGGTAGTTAGCCTAGTTATAGGTAGTGAGCTTAGGTATCAGGGTGGTTATCCTCGGCAGTCATTGTAAGAGTTAAAAGTAAGTTACTGGGAATGTTTGGATCAGTAACTCGGGGAAGTACTATCAGTGCAGTGTTCTGAGCATTCTGCTGGAGTTCTGCTAGCTGACCAGTGTCAGCATTTTAAGAAACAAACATGGAGGACATCACTTTGGAATGAATTCTCTCTTGCTTGTTGTCAGAATGAGTGTGGGTCAAAGAGCTGTGAACAGATGAGGCTTTGCTGATGTTGTCTTAACCCTTTCAGGGAAGCCCTTGTAACTGGTAGTAGTGGTTATGCGTATTTATTGAGAGTAATCGGTTTGATCGTAGGTAGTTGTCATAGTGGTTATTAGGAGTAGTTATTATTATCACAGGTAGTTATCAGGAGTAATTATTGTAGTTCCTATGGGTGATAAATAGTGATAGTTGTCAGGTAATTATCATAGGTATAGGCACATACCAAGGGGTAGTTATCATAGGTGGTTATTGTAGGCAGTTATACTTATGAATAGTTAACGTAGTTACCAAGGGTACTTATCATGATAGTCATTATAGGTAGTTACCATAGTTATAGTTACCATGGGTAGTGAGCATAGGTATCGGGGTAGTTATTCTAGGTAGTTGTTGTTATCAGGGTAGTTACCCTAGGTAGTTAGCATACTTAAGGGTAGTAAACATAGTTACCAGGGGTAGGTATGCTAGGTAGTTATAGGTAGTTATCACAGTTACTACTGGTAGTGAGTATAAGTTTCAGGGGGTAGTTATCCTAGGTAATTGTTGTGGGTAGTCAGCATGGCTATGGGTGGTGAACGTAGGAATCAGGGATTGTTATTTTAGGTATGTTATTATTTGTTGAAAAGGTAGTCAGCATAGTTAAGTGCAGTAAGTGTAGGCATTAGTGGTGGCTATCCTTTGCAGTTGTTGTGGGTAGTCAGCATGGTTATGGGTGGTGAGCATAGGTATCAGGTGTGATTATCCTCAGCAGTCATTAAGACTAGTTAGTGTAGTTTACAGGTAGTGAGCATAGGTATCAGGTGGTTATCCTTGGCAGTCGTGGGTAGTTAGCATGGTTATGGGTAGGGAGTGGAGGAATCAGGAGTGGTTAACATTGTTATTATGGTCAGTCATTGAGCTTTCTCACAGCAGAGGGGCCATGCTCTCCCACTTGCAGCACGTGTATAGAAAACATTCATGGGTTTCGTCTGCCACAGTTGGCCCTCGGGGGGGTTGGGGTCGTGTCCTCACTTGTGAGGCGGGTGCACGCACCCCTTCTGATGCCTGCTCTGGGTACGGGTGGGGGGTTGCCTGATGGCTCCACGGCCTTCATCCTAACCGCCTGCATCCTTTCCAGGGCATATTCCACTTCCAGCTGGGCCGTGGCGAGCCAATGCTGCACACCCGCCTGCGCCCACACTGCAAGGACTTTCTGGAGAAGATTGCCAAGCTATATGAGCTACACGTCTTCACATTTGGCAGCCGGCTGTATGCGCACACCATTGCAGGTCAGTCGGCTACTGGCTCAGGCACTGTGGACAGGAGATTCTACTCATTTCCTTTTCTTAGTGGTGTTTTCTTAACAAGAAAGAAAGAGAAAGAAAGCACCTCTCCCTGGAGCCCAGGTTTTGTCTCTGGTCGACTGTGGCACAGGGTTGGTAGGGAAGTAGTTCTACCGTTGGACATGGGGCTGTGGTTTCCTGGTGTGTTGTGGGGTGAGCCTGTTGGAAGTTTATCAGGACCACAGACATGAAAAGTTCAGGACTTTTTATATAAACATACCTGAAAATATGTTATTAATTGTTGAAAAGGGCCCTAGAGCCAAGTTGCGATGTGTGTGTACTCTATGCCAACTGCAGATAGAGGAGTGTCTCACCTGGACACAGACACCCTGACAATGTGGCATTTACTTCTGGGGTCCTGAGTAGACGGTGGGTCAGTGCTGCTGTCATCTTTGACACATGCACAACCTGTGGTGCCCACTGGGTGGCAGCACCAGCAGGGGCAAAGTGAGGGGACCAAGCCAGGGGTCACCATGTGTTGGTGTCATTGGTAAGTTATATAAATCATTAGTGACAGTGACACCAGCTTGCATCAGATGACTGGGGGAGGCATAATTTTTAAAATAAATTTTAAAAATTTTTAAAATTAGAAAGGTGAAAAATTAGAAAATTATTCCTCCTAAAAATTAGAAAAGTATGCCATATCCACATGTATTCCCTATTCTCTCTTTTTTTAATATATAATTTTGCAGAATTTGTCTTAATGTATATACAAGTTTATGTACTATTCTTTTCACATAATATTACATCACAAAAGATTTATCTAGCACATTGTTATGAATCTTTAATAACATTTTATGTAACTATATATTATAACTATTTCTTCTTGGACAATTTTATTATTTTTGATTTTTCATCATATGAAAAACATGCATTAAATATCATACGTAAGATTTTTTTTTCTTCTTTGGATTAGACCCACTGGATGAGTACCTAAGATTGGGATTGTTGTGAGAGATGGAGTGGTTTCTGATCACTTGCTTCCCAAGAACTGGTTTTGTTTGGGGAGAGTATCCAGCCTCTCCCAAGGTCCTCCCCATGAGGGCAACCCAGGGACCTGCACATCTGAGGCCAAGCAGTACCAGGATATGTGTGTGTCATCTCAAGCTCTGTGTCAGTGGTTTTTCTTTTTTTCCTCTCCTGTCCTTTGTCTGTTTATCTAGTGACAATGCAAATATTTCAGAGGTTCTTTTGGGACTCTATTTTTTTTTTAAGATTGTGGAAGGCTCTCGATCCTGGGCAAGAAAGAATTTAGTCTGAAAGCAAAGGAGGGTCCCAGGTTTCAGCGAGCCGTGCCCTTGTTGTCCGTCACTGACATGCAGGCATGGGGCACCATGATCTGATCCCACAATGACAAGGTTCTGGTGTGGTGGTGTTATGGTGGGGAGAGAATGTTGAGTTTCTCTCAGCCTGGCTGGATGAACGTGGTGGGAGCTGGCAGGTCCAGTAGCATGCGTGTACTGATACTCATGGGCACCAACTATGCAGATGCTGAGCAGGTGCCTGTGGATGGAGCTCTGGGTCTGGAAAATCGTGAAGTACATCCTGCTGCCGTGAGACCTGTTCAGTTCATTGAGTGACCCATAGTGTGTCTTGTACTGGCTTCATCTCAAGCTCTGGTTTCTACACTGACACTTCAGTGTCCAAAGAGCTTTTACCAAACCTATACATGACATCACAGGAAGCTGCAGACCAGAGGTGCAGCAGTCCTCAGCAGAGCACAGTGCCAAGTCCAGTGGCATATGAGAAAGACTCAGCTCCACAGCTGGTGGGCCTCAGGAGGGCAGCCTGTGAGAAGCAAGGAGAAGGGGCCGGGCCTGCATCCTGGGAGCTCTGGGACCGGGGAGAGATCCCCAGTGGGATGGGGTTTGAGAAACTTGAGCTTTGCTTGACATGTGAACATAGTATCTCGTGGCTAGGGGGCATCTGTAGAGATTCTAAGGTTATTTTGATGACGTACACATGAGAAGCTGAGGCCCAGACTAAAACCTGAAGGTAGCTCCTTGGCTTCCTCTTTTTAATCAGACCTTTAATATGAAAGTTATGTTTTCACAGGACCTGTGCTTTTAGCATGTTTAGGATAGAAGCGTGAAGTGCTTGGGATGCTTTTCATTTATCTTGTTGCAGGAATTCTGGTAGTTCTACTCACAAATTTTAGATTTTGCCCCTGGTTAGCTTCAGTGTTCATATAGAATTTACAGGTTCTTTATGTAGTAAAAAATAATACTAATGACTTCTTTTATAAGAGCAAGTTTTTTGTTGATGGAATGCTCACGAGTGAGTGATCCCAAGGATGTGAAACCTCTGGTCAGGATTGCATTTAGAACATCTGGAGGTGACCACACCTCAGTCACTGTGCAGATGTATCGCCCAAGTGTCTCCAGACCCCAGAGTGTGCTGCACACAGTGTCTGGGCACAGGGTGGCTGAGGGTGCAAGTAGACTTCTCATCATCATGTGTACATTTTAACCAGCTTTAGAAACAGTAAGCATGTGTGTCAGGTTTGTGATTTAAAGGTACTGGTACAGAGGATTGGCCTGCAGGGATGGGCATAGGGAGCAGTTGCTGAAAAGCCAAGTAAGAAGAAGAGTGATGGAGTAGAGTGTCATCAGGACAGTATCCAACAGCACAATGACCCCACATGCCCCACGGGGAGCACTGGCGAACATTCTAGTGAGACTTACCCAAAAGCACCTTTGAGGTGTTTAGGCACCTCCTTGTTTACTTGTAACTGAAGTGAATCAGGGACACCACATGCAGTGACAGCTACCAATACTGGACTGTGACTTGTCCTGTTCACTGATCTGGTCTCCTTGTTGTCCCTGGCACTTTGCACATGTCACAGTGGGTGGAGAGTGTGTTCACATGCTCAGCTCCTGGCAGACTCAAAGCTTCTCAGGAGAGTAATATTGTGCTTTATTATTCCCATGTTCTCTGTTCCCAGCAAAATTCTGGTAATATTAAGCACAGTAAATATGAAGTGAACTAATACCTTTAACACAATATCTTTTGCCTTAAGGTACAAGGACCTCCTGTGTCCTGAGGTATGTCCACATTCATGCTTTCAGCCTCTTACGTGATGAGTAGTGGAAACTTTTTGGGGGGTACTTTATAATTATAGAGGCTCTTTCCCTCAGAATGTTTTAAGTGGTTGGTGAAATTAAATTGTTTAACTGACATTGAACTTGATGCCTCCAGTATGGTTTACCAGTGAAATAAATTACCTGGAAGCCTGTTTGGTTCCATTCAGCACTCTATGTCCACAGGTGGAAACACACTTACTATAAATTCTAGAGTTCTTGTCAATTAGCAAGAGATAACATTTTAAATTGTTCTTTATTATAAAATATGGGTACTTCTAATAAAATAATGCAAAATTAAACTTTGCAGTCTCATAGAAATAATATGGTAGGCTTTAAGTACAGAAGATAAATTTGTAGATAAAAGCACTCCGAGTAAAGGTAATCTCAAGGAATCTCTGCCTGGTTTGATTGATATCGTGGTCATTTCCAAATTATAATTGTATTCTTGCAGAGATCAGTGTAGTATTATCTCTAAAGACTTCAGGCAGGTGTGCTTTTATTTTCATCATTAAATACTTCAAGCTCTTTAGAAAGTTACTTTTTAAAAATTGAATTAGACTTGCAATCAACAGGTGTCACGTAAAATATCTCTCTGAGGTGAAGTACCACCAGGGATTTGGATCTGAACCTAAGTTCCCTCCGAGCTGGTTATTGTGTGAGGAGAAATACCAACAGGGACTTGGATCTGAACCCAGGTCCCCTGTGATTTGGTTAGTGTGTGAGGTGAGTGCCATCAGGGACTTGCATTTGAACAAAGATCTTCTACTAACTGGTTAGTATGGGAAGTGAAATACCAGCAGGGGCGTGCATCTGAACCCAGTTCTTCTATGAGCTGATTAGTGTGTGAGGTGAATTGTTAGCAGGGATGTGGTTCTTAACACAGGTCCCCTTCAAGCTGGTTAGTGTGTGAGGTGAAGTACCAACAGGGACTTGGATCTGAACCCACGTCCTCTACCAGCTAGTTAGTGTGTGAGTAAAATACCAGCAGCAACTTGGATCTGAATCCAGTTCTTCTCCAAGCTGATTAGTGTGTGAGGTCAAGTACCAGCAGGGACTTGGATCTAAACCCACATCTTCCATGAGAGGGATACTGTATGAGGTGCAGTTCGATGTTCTCCTAGACAAGTTATTAGATAGTTCCCTGGTATTGCTTAGACTTGCTGCATTAGAATGTGGTGTTGGGCTGAACTTTCTGTGCATTTCTACTGCATATTGTGAGTCAGTATAATTCTGCTAATGTCATCGAGAGTAACAAACCTCCCTTGGTAGGTTTTCTCCACAAATAGTTCCATGTGAGAGCTGTGCTGCCTGCCCGGGTGGGAGATCGTGCTGGAGGTGGGTAGACACCTCAGGTTCAGTGCCCTGGCTCCTGAAGTGATAGCCACACCGCATGTTCTGAGAGAGAAAGATGACTTCTCTGCTGCACATATACAAGCACCTTCCATAATCTCATCTTATCTTTAGTAGGGTATTGTACAATTTTTCAAATAAATATAGAGAACTTAAACAGACATGGTTTGTTCCTGAGGAATTCTCATTCCCAGTAATTATGGGAGGAGCTCTGCATGAACTGCAGGCTCCCTGGGAAGGGGTAAACGTGTGTGGTGCTGACTGCTGGTTCTGCTATTATAGTGGCACATGCGCGGCTCTGCTGTGTGCAGTGTGTCATAAGTGCATCTCAGATGTGCATTCTTTTCCTTTTCTTTTTAAAGGTTTTTTAGATCCTGAGAAGAAGCTTTTTTCTCATCGGATCTTATCAAGGGACGAATGTATTGACCCATTTTCTAAGACAGGAAACCTTAGGTATGTACCATTCCATTCCCATTTTAAAAACTGCATTTTGAAAGCTAGAGTGGTGGTTCTGTGTGGAATGTTTTGTGGGAATTTAATCTTCCTCCTCCAGTTTTCAGTGTTAGCCTCAGTATTTGGAAAGCTTGTTTCTAACCTGACTCCTCTCTCCCTTCTCCCACCACCCACCTCCCAGGGTCATCCCTGTGCTTGTGCAGAGCCCGAGCCTGTCTACTCTCTGGGCCCACCTGCTCTGCCTAAGCTATGCCCTACTAGCCAGCCCCACTGGTAGCGGGCCTTGAGCTGGGCCCTTATGTCCACCAAGGCAGTGTCAGCATCATCTTTCCTTTGTCCCCATTGTTGGCACAAACTTATATGAGGTCATCACCTGACTTTCTGTATTTTTACTTAACCAAACTTGCCATCAGTGATAATTGTACTCGCTTTAGCTGAAGATTGTCTTTCCTGTCCAGAGACCTGCACTAAGATGTGTTGTTGAGAGGCAGAACGCATGTGTGTCTTCCCTGCCATAGTCCAGTTTTAAGTCACTGGCTTTTTCACCTCTGAATATCCAGGGAATAGCCAGGGCTCCAGGGGATCTCAGGGACTTGACTTTTGGGGCCAGGACTCAGGAGGGTAGAGGTGCATAGGTGTGGGGGATGGCAGTATGGAAGTGTCAGGGTGGGTGAAGGCATTTACAACCAACCCCACCTGACGTGCAGATTGAACAGTTGTATGGAACCACTAGTGTAAAGGGGCATTTTTGACAGCAGTATTGACATTGACGTACAATTTTCCTAGGTGGTTGCATGCTGTTACTATCCTACCAATAATTTATGCAGCCCTAAATCAGATGACCACATTGTCCATACTTTTGCCGTTTCTTCCTTTCCATCAGCTCTAAACCCCCTTCCCTCATCTCTGAGCCTTCTCCCACTCACACACGAAAGATTCTTTATGCTCTTTGATGCTTCTTGCTCACTCTGTGTCCTCATCTCTATACCCAGAGAGCATCCTGCCTCTGTAAGACTCTGTTAGGTGTAGTTTGTTTGCATGGGTGTTGATAGCTAACAAGCCTTGGACAGTAACACCTTCAGTTTTAGTAGTTTAGAGCTCAATTGGCCACACTTTTCTACACATTTTAGTCTTTAGATCTGGGGAGTCCACACAAACTCTTGGAGGTGTTTATTTATAAAACAGATCTCCTTTCTGCCAGTTAGTGTCAGAGTGTGCAGATCGTTGAGAGCAAAAGAAAATGAGAGATGGTGTTAGTGACTTATTGGAGGGAAGCCACCTGGAAGTAAGGTTAGAATCTATTGGGGACAGCCCAGGGTGGTCATGGGGTAGGCATTGTGGCTTGCACGGATAGCACTGTAGGTCTCCTGGCAACATTCTAAGTAGGTGGTTGGGTCTGTTTCAGACTCAGCAGATCCTGGCATTGGGCTGCCTGCTCTCCTGGGTTTCTAAGTGAAACTTTATTAGAACGGGCTCATTCATTCATAAGAGTTGCATGTCACAGAGTTGAGTTGTGTCCTTGTAGCCCCCAAAGCCTAAGACATTGACTCTCTGTCCTAAAAGAAAACGTTGCTGACTCCAGTTTTAAGGAGAATCAGAAACAACAGAGAAAAGTGGTGTTGGATGTCATTTTCTCTGGAAATGCTGAGTTTAAATGAGCCACATACAAGCCCCCAGTGCAGTCTGTGTGTTTGTGATTAGTCTGCTGTCTGCTGGTACATTAGATTAGAACCTCAGACTATTGTGCTTAGCAAGGTGAATAGTTACCACAATTTGGCATTATTGTTTTGTTTACATTATGCGTCTTTACTTGTAGAAACCTCTTTCCTTGTGGAGATTCGATGGTTTGCATCATTGATGACCGAGAAGATGTCTGGAAGTTCGCCCCTAACCTGATCACCGTGAAGAAATACGTGTACTTCCAGGGTACGGGTGACATGAACGCACCCCCAGGTTCCCGGGAGGCTCAGGCAAGGAAGAAAGGTGGGTTACTCTTCCTCATTCTTTAGAAAGAAACAATTTGCATTTCACTTCATTGTTTGTCTTTTCTTATTTTTATCTCTACTTTGGCTGCTATACATTCAAGATTCATTTTATTTTACTTTTTGTTTATATTTCATTAGTTATAGAGATGGTTGGATTTATTTATGTAATACTGAAAAGCAGGATATTATTTAGCTTCAATCTGGATTTTTTTAAAAATAGCACTGACCTGAACATTTTCCCAGTTGAGTAAAGGATAAAGAGTGCTGTTTAACTTAGTACATAGGAATATTGCCTTTCATCCCGTTTTCCTTAAACACAACCCTGGTAAGTTACTCATGGCATTCTTTGGAAAGAGCCACATGGGTGTAGTGGCCGTGCTAATAAGCACTGCCCTTGGGGCCTGGCAGGTCCTCAGGCCGAGCAGCATCCATTTGCCACTGGAGTCACTAAAGTAGAACTTGGAGGTTAAGAGCAGAAGACAGTGGGGCGTTTTTATAGAAGGCGGAGGCCTACCAGTCACGGGAAACATCCCTGATGTCCTCCAGAATGGACTTAACAAACTACATCCACGGGCCACATGTAAAAATGGGATGTGTGTGACCCACAGACCTCAGTTAATTGTAGGTTGAGTATCCCTAATCCCCAAATTCGAAATCCTGTAAAATCTGAGACTTGAGTGCTGACATGACACTCAAAGGAAATGCTCATTGGAACATTTTGGATTTTCACGTTTGGATTTTTAGCTGTTATGTTTAATGCAGATATTTCAAAATCTGAGAAAAATTCAGCATCCAAAATAGTTGTGGTCCCAGGCATTTGAGGCAAGAGGTGTGTCTGACTCTTCACAGCACGTCTGCCATGGCCTTGGCTGGAGGATGTTGTCTTGCAGTTGAAGCAAGAGCTACTGCATTAAATTGAGCTTTATTCAGTGTTCATGTGGCATTATGTGACTTCTCCTTTTGTGCGTATGTTTAGGAAACTCTCCTTCTAAAGTTGTCGACCCAGAACCAGCCCCAGCTACAAGGGATCTGGAAGATGGCCCTGGTCCTGGACTGGAGCAGAGCAACGGACTTGGGAGGGAGCTGAACAGCAGTGAGGCCTCTGCCCGGTGGGACTTGCCCCCGCCCAAGAAGGCAGACGAGGGGGATACCTGGCCTCCCACCCGTGCCCCCTCCACTGTCAGTCTCGAGCCAGCAAGTGCTCCAGAGTCCCAGGTGTCCTGTGAGCGGGGCAGCCGGACATCTTCAGGAGAGCAGCCTACTCAGGCTACCCCAGGCACCAACCTGGACTTTGATTTGTCCAGTGACAGCGAGAGCAGCCGCGACTCAGAGGGTCCCAAGTCCTCCTCCTCCTCCTCTGCTGCCATATCCAATGGGGAAAGTGAGAAGGCAGGCTCAACAGAGCCTTTCACTGCCCTGGAGGAAGCTAAGGGGCTGCAGCAAGGAGGCCCTCCTGATGTAGGTGCAGGGAGGCCTGCAGAGGAGCCTGGGCCCAGTGTCCAACCCCAGGACAAAGGGCCCGACCTGGGCACGCAAGAGGAGGGCGAGCGAGATGGCCTTTGTGGCCTGGGTAATGGCTGTGCTGACAGGAAGGAGGCAGAGACTGAGTCACAGAACAGTGAGCTGTCAGGCATCACAGCAGGTGAATCCCTGGATCAGAGTGTGGGAGAGGAAGAAGAGGAGGACACAGATGATGATGACCACCTCATCCACCTGGAGGAGATCTTGGTGCGTGTGCACACTGACTACTACGCCAAGTATGACCGGTTCCTCAGCAAGGAGCTGGACGAGGCACCGGACATCCGCAAGATTGTGCCTGAGCTCAAGAGCAAAGTGCTGGCTGACGTGAGCATCATCTTTAGTGGGCTCCACCCCACCAACTTCCCCATAGAGAAGACCCGGGAGCACTACCATGCCACGGCCCTGGGTGCCAAGATCCTCACGCAGGTGGTGCTGAGCCCTGACGCCCCTGACAGAGCCACCCACCTGATAGCAGCACGGGCTGGTGAGTGCACTGCCCACCCTTCTTCCTGCCCTCCTGTATGTAGTGCTGCCAAGGCACACGCACTACCCCTGGGTGGCACAGCACGCCCATGGTAGCTTTATTGTAGTCACTCCCTGAAGTTAGCATTGTTGTTTATTTCACCTTGAACTTTCAGGAACATTTTCCAGGATCACCACCTTTTGAGAACAGGTTAATGGTGTCATTTTGATGGAATTCTAATGTGGCCCTCTATGTTTGCTGGGCATGTGTCCTTCTTGGTGCTAGGTTGTTGTGCACTGTGTGTGGAGTTGGAACCTTCTAGAGCGAAGGCATCGCTGGGTTGAAACTCGAAGTTAGGCAGTGGGTACCGCATAGTCAGGGTTCCCAGTTGAGCAGGTGAAAGATTGATTGGCCCTCTGGGTTAGGCAACTAAATGTAGAATTTCAGCTGTCACACACCTACAGAATGATGTGAGACAGCTGGGTGTGGAGTGTGAGTCTTTGGTCTCACAGGGCCACAGGGGCCCCCTCTTCCCTCTGGAATGCTTGCAACCATTGCTTAAAATGTCCCAACACCAAATCACTCTTCAAGCTTGCCTTTCATGGACATTTAATTTTTCCTAAAGACTGTGTGAATGACTTCAGGTTCTGCTCATCAGATGAGATCCTGTGTCCTGAGTTAGGGCTTCTAGACATCTGGCTTTGCCTCCAGGGCTCAAGATATCCTGCAGGGTCTGGGCATCCCTGCCAAGCTCCCTGCAGGCCGCTGTGGGCCTCATTTGACCCACCCTTGCAGTATGGTCACATGTTTGACATGTGTCTGGTGAAGTGTCGGAATGATGGGAGATCTCTGGCTTAGTGTGGAGCACAATAGGAGCTAACCAGGAGGGTAGGGCTGGGTGTTCTTAGGGGCTTGCCAATCCTCCAGCCTGAGAGCAGAGGAGACTTAAGCCTCCCGGGCCTATGGACCTTCCTCCTGGGCAACCAGGTGTGTGAGATTGGCCTCTAGTCACACTCGGGCATGCCTTTGCCCTGTCCAGGATCTGCCCAGTCCTGTACCTTCTTCATTGCTGTTCCCACTTCTCTCTGGACATGTGCATGCCTCCTTCCTGCTGTTGTGTCCACCACTGACTTCTGAGAGCTTTGCCCTTAGAGCAGACGAGGGGCTGGTGCAGTGTTGGGCGCCTCCCCCACTCCACAACTGCCCAGCCTGCTGCTGCCCACCCTAAATCCTTGTGTTTAGTAGAAGGTCTGACCCAGGTAGGTGCTCAGTCCTGGCCTAGGGGATAGGTAAGCCCGAATGGGGTATATGGCAGGCATTCTGGCAAGGGAGGCAGGTGTGACCCTGAACTTCTTAGCAGGGGTTGATGCCAGGAGAGAGGCATTGTGCAAGACATCAGGGAAGTGGGTGGTCTCGGGCACTTTGAGAATGCCAACTGGATGATCTTGGAGGCTGAAACAGAGGAGAGAATGGAGAATGGAGAGACAGCCCAGGCATGCTGGGGAGACCGAGGCAGCTGCTGGTGTCCCAGGTTTGCTTGGTGCAGAGTAGAGAGTGGGGCGGGCTGATGGAGATGTGTCTGAGGGACACATGGAGGGAAGTGGGGCAGCCACTGGCCTGGGGGTGTGGTTGGCATGGTCACTGGGCTGGGCCAGAGTGCATGTGTGGGCTAGACAGATGGATCCTGGCCTTCGTAACTGTGGCTCTGTGGGGCTGCGGTGACAGGGTGTGTGGGAGCAGGAAGGGGCACCTAGAATCAGAGCTATGCTAACAGGATCAAGGATCCCTCCCGAGGCCCATGAGCTCCCTGAGGAGGCTGCAGGTAGAGCTGGGGAGGCAGGCTAGGCAGGCTTGGGAGCCACTCTTGTCCCAGCTGGTGAGAAGCAGAGTCCAGTGCCTGGAAAGAGGGTCGGGAAGCCCACGGGGCCCTGCGGTGATGGCACCTCTGGGAGAGATGGCAACGGGGATGGGGGGTAGGCAGGACTGGGTGGCGCAAAGGGTCAGGATGGGGATGGGTAGGGGCCTGTGCTGGGCAGTTTCCAGTGCAGGAAGCCACCTGTGAAAGCCAGTCCCTGCTCATCAGTGGAGGTTGTGTGTGTCCATCTTGCTGGCCCACAAGTGTTGAGCACCTGGCATGGCCCCCCTCGCAGCTGATGTGTGGTCTCCACAGGCACAGAGAAGGTGCTTCAGGCACAGGCATGTGGGCATCTGCATGTGGTCAACCCAGACTGGCTGTGGAGCTGCCTGGAGCGCTGGGAGAAAGTAGAGGAACAGCTTTTCCCACTCAAGGACGACTACACCAGGGGGCAGAGGTGAGCACCCAGCCTAGCCTTATCCTTGTATCCCGGTCCTGTGTCCCTCTCTCCCGTGTCCCATTCCTCTGTCCTCCATCCCTGTCCCTGACCCTTGTCCCCATATCCCCATCCCATACCCCAGCATCCCTATTTTGTGTCCCCACATCCCTGTCCCATGTCCTCATGCTCCCATCAATGTCCTCGTCCCAGTGCCCCTTGCTGGTGCCACACTTATGGCCCACATTCTCTTCATTGACAGGGAGAACAGCCCTGTGGCCGTTCCCGACAGGGAGGTGCTTCCAGCCGCCATGTTCCACCCTACCCTTGTCCAGCCCAAGGCTCTGCCTGGTCCTGAGGTGCGGATCTACGATGCCAAGACGGGCAAGCGCATCAGGATGGGTGCCCAGGGCCACGGGCCAGCACCTCCCAGCTCCCTGCCCGTCCATGGGGAGCCTTCCTCCTTCAGGTACATGGTGGCACCTGACAACTGGTCTTAGGAGAAAGAGCTTTTGAGTTTGTTGCTGTAGTTGTGTGAGGGATTGCATAAGCCTCTGCAGTGAGGATGGGGCATTAGAGGCTGCTGAGCCTTCATCTGAATCAGGTGGCCTGCTGGGATAGTGACTCCCCCACTTCACAGAAACATCTCCCCACCTGTGCTCCTAAGCCTTTTTGTTCATTCTTCTGCCCTGTCTTGGGTCCCAAAACTGGAACAAAACGCCCCTGTTTCATTTCTACAGTGTTCCACACCAGCGCCCATGAGTTCTTGCACGTGCATATCTGCAGGCCATGCAGGGCTGGCCTGCCAGGCACTGGCTTTGTCTGCAGACCAATCACTGCCATTGAGTTGATCACACGTCCTGGGGTTGCTCCACAGACGGTGACCCACGCGGGGTGCTTCTGACCTTCTGTGCAATGCCTCTGGGTCTACTCCCTCTGCTAGCTCTGCTGTCAGTGTTATGGCCATCCCAAGGCTGCCCTGTTCCATTTGCACACAGTTGCAGGGGGTTGTGGCCCTGGTGGTTGATAAATAGGAACATGAGGAAGAGAAACTTGACTAGAAGGTGTTAAGTTGCCTGGATGGGTGCTGCCAGGAGGAGTCTGAGACCAGTGAGAGGATGCTTACTGAGTAGGCCGCATCTGCCTTTCTCCTCCGAGTGATTCAAAATCAGCCCTGACCTGCCCACAAGGCCCTGCAGACCCCTTGTCAGTGGTGGTAGGACGTTCTTGGGGATCTGAACAAAGGGTTTCTGCCTGTTGTTTGTCCTGTGGTCATTGCTTTGAAATTCCTGAGGTAAATGCGTAGTCGCATATCTACTCCTGCTTTTCCCTTTCGAGAGTACCTAGACCTTCCTGGGCACCATTCCACACAGTCCACATTCCAGAAGCTGGATGTCTTCACTCTGCCCTCGGTCTCCCGAGCCCTGACAGGCCCTGACAGGCCTGAGCTCCCTGCATAGTTTATAGAGTGGGTTTCAGGGACAGGCAATAGCTCACACCGAGTCCATACCTTCTGGCCTTTCTCTGGCCTCAGTGACACTGCAGGAGCAGACATGAGCCATGCCTGGCACTGCAGAGCTGAGCTATTAGTGAAAGGTGTCAAGCACCCTCCCACTTTCTGGACATGGACGAGCTGTGGCCAGCCTAGGAGCTGAACCAGCTCCATAAGGCAGGGGGGACTGACCCAGACGCTGGCAGGTTTCCACTTTCTGGGCCAGTTTGCCCAAAGCCACGCCACTGCCAGTGCTGCAGACAGGTGCCGATGCATGCCCTTGCTCAAGCCCATCTGAGCTTTTGGTTGCTTACTTTTTGCTCTATGTAGCTAAAAGTGTCACATTGGTTACACCAGTGTTTTCCTTCAGCAGTATTGTGTTTGGTGGATCACGGCACCTGTGGTGACTGTTGGCTTACCTTGAGTTCAGAACATAACTGAAGCAGACGTTGGCCATGTAGATGTAGAAGGGACACCTGTGTTGGAGACACGGTGTTCTGCAGCTTTTACCTGGCTACTGTGTCTTCCACTCTTTGCTGAGCTGTGTGGGATGTTGGGTGGGGTTTTTTTGTTGTTGTTGTTTGTGTGTGCTTAATGTCTTTGGCTCAAATATTTGCAAACAACGCCAGATTAAGTTCTGTGTAGCGTCCACTGTAAAATTCTGAACTCCTCCATTTTTAAATTTTGTGGTGACCTAATATTATCTGGGGTAAATTCCACCTGTTTTTTAAAAGTATAGTCTTGTCCCAGGACGCAAAGATAGAGCAGATATGTGAATGTTCTCTCTGCCAGAGCTTCCATGGACAGTGCTGGTTCCTGAGGGCCAAACTGGGGCACGTGTGTTTATTCCCACACTCATGGAGCCTATGGTGAGGACCAAAGTGCTGCTTCTGTGTCTCAGATAACTCCAGTTTGTGCTATCCTGAGAAAAATTCGAGTTTTGGTTTGTACCACAATTTATCTTATTTTACTGCCCTAAAGTATTTCATAGGTGGATTGGTTTCTGGGAGAGGAATTCAAGTGTCATCTCCATTCCCCAAATTGCAGTGTTGCTATTCAATTTCCGTTAAGATCGACTCTGCAGGCTTACTTGTTCCTATGTAGTACATGTGTCATATGTGTTAATTTTTACTGCTGAAATGTCCTTTAAGATGGTAAGACAGTCCTCATTTCTCAGGACCCCTAGACTTGAGCATGTACCAAGTTGGAGTGCAATGGACATACTCCAGGAGCCATCAGCGTGTGCACAACCAGCTGGGGCATCCAGGTGCAGGCTCTACTGGGGTGGATTCATGTCCCTATCTCACAGATTCTAATCTGCAACTTGAAGATGCGTTTCTGAGGCAGGTGTCATACTCGGCGGGCAGCAGTGTGTTCTGAGGTTGGTGGTGGGTTAGAATGGGCAATGGTATGTTCCTAGGTGGGTGGCTTGATAGGCCAGGCAGTAGTGTTCCAAGGCAGATGGCATGTTAGGCCGGGCAGTGGTGTGTTCCGAGATGGGTGGCATACTAGGCCGGGCAGTGGCATGGGACTCTGCCATCTACTCATGTCATCTGGTCCTCTGGCTGCAGTGGGACATGATCTCCCTGGCTCCCTGCTTCTCTGCTTATATACATAACAAACACAGCAGTGGAGTGATAAACCCATGATAAGCTCAGCACTCGCCTGCAACTCCAATGTTACTCAGGACAGACAGGTAATTGTATGTTTTTGCAAGGTGATCGTGGTCGGGCCTGGGTGAACAGGATTGGGGTTAACAGAAGATTTTAGGGAAACTTCTGACAAAGTCCAGTTGTAGAGACCATGGGAACATATGTAGTTAAGCACAGTTAGAACATGAGGCCAACACAGCAGCATAAGAAGCATGCAGTTCAGGAGGCTGCACATGTGTCCTTTACATATGACACAGGAACATTGCCATGGGACTGGGAGGTAGAAGTGCTGGGCCTCACCCTGCACCATTCAGGAAGCAGCTGGCTCTTCTGACAGCCTACAATCAGATATGGAAGCAAAAGAATGCCTGGAAGGTAGAACTTACCATCGAAAGGGAAACAGAATGTGAAGATTTGGAAAATGTGCATCCTTGCCGCGTGGTAGAGAAGGAGAAGGCATTTCCAAGAGAGGAATTCAAGTGGGTAGCAAGGTAACCATTTACCAGAGAGACTAGCATGGCTAAAAGGGAGCCAAATGTTTAACATTTAAGACTTGGAAAATGCCTTGAAGGCATTTCAGAAACCTTCCAGGTGCCCCTCCTGTCCCAGCCCAAAGGCCTAGGAAGTAAGACTGACTTGGGGCCAGGCCCAGGGACCTTGAACCTGTGGTACTGCTCCCTACATCCTGACTGCTCAAGGTACAACTGGACTCACAGTCCCAAGCACTGCTCGCACCACTCTGGAGGGCATCAGTCACAAGGCTCGGTAGCTTCACCTAATTACAGAGGACATGTGGGAAGCTGGGTCCCAGTCAGAAGCCTGCTAGCAGGGCAGACCCCATGAGAGCCAGAATGGTAGAGCCACTGGCAGTGCACACCTTCAGCCCAGGAAAGCCACAGTCATTCAACTGCAGCCCCCGAGGGCAACCTGTGTGCTCAGAAAAGCCACAGGGCAGGCTGCCTGTGACCTTGGGAGCCACCACTCAACCAGCGTGCTCAGGATACTGGGTAGCCAGGGCTCCATGGGCGACAGTCCTCCCTCACCACGGGGGGACCTGGGAGGAGGAGATGCGGGTGAGTCTGAGGTTTCCTGTTCAGATGACAGGAAATAGGACCAACTAGGTAGTGATGGCGTCACTTCTGGGTTTTAGATGGTGGTCCTATTATGTACTTACTGGGTTTTCCTCGAGGTGGTCTTCTCCAGCACCCAGTGCCAGCTCTATGTCTGCAATTCAGGTCGGCTCCAGTGCTGACTGCCTGGGTGGCATCAGTCCCCACAGGCGAGGGCTCTGTCTTGCCAGACTGCCTGCCCACGGATGCCTGTCACATCAGATCCCTGGGCACCTACACCAAGTCCAGCTTGGCAGTTTCAGGGGTCCTATGCCCACACCCTTTGCATTTCAAGAATCTGCTAATGTGACTCACACAACACCAGAAAACACGTCCTTTTGCCAGTTTATCTTAAAGGCTCTGGACTAGCCAGGTCTTGTGGGTTCTGAGTGTGGGCACTCATCCTCTGGAGTGGGCTCTTGGAGCTCTCTGCAACCCCGTCTCACAGTGTGGGCATGACTGGACATGTCACAAATGACAGTTGCTCAACCTAACTCTCCAGGTCCTTCTGGTGACCACCCTCATCCTGGAGCTGTCTGGGACTGGGCCCTGTCACCTCTTACCCCTGAAGATCAGGGTTTGGGAGCTCCTATGTTAGGAACCAGGGACTAGGACCAGATAAAATGGTTAAAAATTAGATATAAAACTGGTGTTTGAATTATTCAGTCTTGCTTGGAATAAGTGTCAGTAGATAGGAATTTTGAAGAAAAATGAGAGAAGTAATTATTATCTCATTATCTGAAAACAGACTTGCAGATGGTAAGCTGAACTTGAATAAAGTTGAACTCCTGCTTTTTACTTGAAGTACACTAATAATAGGGCAAAAGATAACCACATATATTGTTCTGAAATGTGTATAATTAATGTGAACAGCAGCAGTTCAGCTCCAGATGACGTTCTCTGAAGAGACAAATGTTCAGTTCTGCTATCTCTTCTGGAGAGAACACACACCAGGCTGTAGTGCATTGAATGAGTTGACTTTTGGTGAAGTTTTCTTTTTAATCTAGACGTGTGATTTGTACCAAAATATTGTTTAAATTATTAGTAGTCCATTTAGGTATAGAAAAGGAAATTAATGTGTTAACCCATATTAATCATCTAAGTGTGTCATGGAGAGCAGTATTGCTATGTCCACACTAGCATGTTACCCAAGTCTCATTCATGGTAGAGGTATCTAAATACCCCTTGTCATATTGAGGTCTTCATACGTTTCTCCCCACCTGTGTGTGTTGGAAACTATGCTCTCCTAACATTAACCATTGTTGGTTCTACTTGTTGATAATTCTGTTTTGAAAATGGCCAATTTGAATAAGAAAAAAGAAATCCCAGTTTTAATCTCCTTTCCCTAAACCTAGCACTAGAAGTCTGAGGCTAGGGACGTCCAGGGACATGAGGAAGGTTCT